TCTGCGCCGCACACAGGGAGAGCGTCCCGCGTGTGTCACGTGTCACGTCATGCGATACGAGCGCAGCGGAGAGTTTGCTCTGGGAGGTGGTGGTGGGGGGGGGGAGGTAAAGAGGTCCCGCTCTCACCAGGAAGGAGAAGAACATGGCCGCCGCGGACAGGAAGTGCCAGATGTCGTGGTCGTCGAAGAAGTGCAGGAGCACGCAGGGACGGTTCTGCTCCCGCGACTGCGCTGGGGACTCCTGAGGGGTCAAACACAGCAGACACACCAGGGGCTCGAGGAGCTGCTCGCCACGATTCCCCCAAAGAGGAGGTTTGATTCTAATCGGCTACTGCCAACGCACATTAGTATTGTTTAAGGTCTCAGCCGAAGGGCAGAACCCCCTACAGAACAGTGTCCCCCGTCACCATACCGGGACACTGGCCCGGAGTTTGTGGTTCCAAGGTTAGGACGCCCCCTGCTGGTCCAGCAGCAGCAGGTTTTCCTCCCATCCCAGTGCTGACCAGGCCCAGCCTGGATGAGTGTCTGAGAGCTGACCACACTCCTGATAAACTGTCAGCAAAATATATTAGCATCACAAAATGCGCTGCAAGTCATATACAGTCATATTCGTTAAAGGATAAGGTCATTTGATAAAAAAAATAGTTTAATGTTTTAGTAAAATCGTCATTGTTTCTCAGAAAAGACCTCCAGCTCTTTTGGCCAGCTGTTGTTTCCATTGGCCTTTAACCCAAGGTGTACAGCCAGGCCTCAAATCTGCTCTTTCAATTGCATTCACATTGTTACTTACTGGAGAAGTGCTGGACAAACATTTTTCTATCAGCATTTATGTAGGTGGCAATATTTTGAAGATAACACAATTACTGTTTTGTGGAAGCATAATGTTCACAAGGAAGTGTGAGGCTGGCACACAGTTCTACAGTGTGAAACATTCAGCCAATACTAGCAGGGCTATGCAGAAGACATGACCAGATAAGAAAGGTTACATACTGAAGGAGGCTCTTCTGCCTAGTTAATTAATGTCATTGCACGCAGCTAACTGATCCAAGGATCTCATCCGGCTGCCTCTTTATAGATCGTATGGAATCTGCTTCAGGACCTGGACTAGCTGGCTTTCTCCCATGAACCCTGGCGTAACAGAGGGCTTCCTGCACAACTGCACAAGGCCGTCAGATGTGTGGCTCAGTTGCAGGTGCTCACCTCCCAGCTGGTCAGGTTCTGAAGGAAGAAGTAAAGGGCCGCCACCCACATCACTGCCGTGGCAACGATGCAGAACAGTGGGATGGGCCTCAGGCTCTCCGAGCTCCGGAGCTGTCAATCAGAAGTGCACAGGAAGTCAGGTGAGGGCAGGAGACACCGGAACCTTCCGGAACAAGAACGGCTTTCTCCGAGCGACAGGGAAAAAGAAAAAGTTGCTTACAGCACTTTCAACACGGTGAACTTTTATAGCACATGGAAAACCAATCCGAAGATTTGGGTATTTTGGTGCCAAACAACAGGTCCCTGTGAGGAGGGTGTCACATCGGTGGGCACGCAGGGTTACGTTACCTCAAAGGCAGGTCCGTGACTTGAAACATTCTTCCACATCAGAGCACCCAACCCTCCCCCCAATACCTCCCCGGAGCTCTCACCTTCATGATGATGTAGAAGGTCAGGTACAGCAACAGGTTGCAGATGAAAATACCGAGGAGGTAAGAAGCAAAATCCTTGGGCTTTAATATCAGCCCAACAACAGCACTGCAACAGAGCAGAGAGCCTGAACTGAACCGAGCTGAACAAACAAACCCCACTGCAGTGCATCATCCCTGGCCTGACTTCAATGGGAAAGTCAGTTAAAATCACAACTGGCATGTCACTGAAACACAGAACACGCCCTTGTATCATTAAAGACTGAGGCGAACAGGCTCCTTTCACAATGTTCGTTATCTGGTATGTTTCCTGGTATGCGATAAACAGGACAAAACCTAAAAAGATGAGTTAAGAAGACTTAAAGCGAACTAAAATATGATTCAGAAACAAATATAATCATTCTTTACATCAACGACATTTACAGTGTGTCACGATGTTTCTTAGCGTGTCCTGAATCCATTAATCCATCATGCTGTGTGCTCTGAAAGACAGCATGCAGGAATTTCTTTGGCGATTTCTTATTTCTTACATGCTTCTTTAGGATGAAAACATCACAAACAAAACAACGTATCAAAACCCTCGTTGTTCCACAACTCTGGCCTTCCAGGAGTCACCATCCTTAAACATCATTGAGAAGTCATTACATTAATCTTTTCAAGCACTATAGTAGAACAGTAAATGTGTCCTTCAAGCCCTAAATCGGCTCAAAGGACAAACGGTGACTGTCTTTGCCTTTGGGCTGCATGCCCTCTTCCGTTCCAACGATTCACAGAAGTGAGAAGCAAACTACCGTACAAATAAACGCTTTCAAACTGAGGAGATTTAAAGTTGACAGTGCACAGATCTGTGATGTTATTTTTTGATTGATCACATACTGTAGTTTAGCTCTACTTACAAAGACCAATTGACGAGATTGCCCAGGATCAGGAGAACCATCCTGTCCTGCAGCAGTGGAAAGAGACATGTTAGAAGCATGCTACATCACAGCAAGCTGGCTCGCTTCTACTTTTCTTGCATTTATGCTGAGGTTTTGCAACTATAAACAACGGAAGAAGAACGTAGACAATCTTCATCTGACAGAATTGACCACAACTAATTGCTTTGCATAAAAAAAACATTTTAGTGCTGACCTAATGGTAGCTTAAAAAAAGGAATTATTTGGATTCATCCAAGTTGGAATGTTTTTTTTAAATAATTTGTGCTCTACTGTTTATCCATGATTCCCCCATGTGTTGCTGGAAACCCCTGGTCAGTGTCTATCCTGGAATCCCAGGGCTCCTGGTGGAGATACTCGCATGAGCACACTGTGACACCTTGCCAGTGTGTATTTTGTGTATTTTGTAGCTGAACAGAAACCACAGCACCCGAGAACCCCCCCCAAAGGCAGCACGCAAGCTCCAGACAGAAGGTGCTGGGATCAAGCTGCTGACTGCGCCATCTCTTTGCTATTTATGTTTTTGCAAGAGCTTTTCGGTGTGCTCAAGTGTGTCTGAGGCCTATTCCTTACAGCGCGAGCACGAGCTGCGGTCTGGTTTCTGCAGCCACACATGAGCTGTATTTTATACACTTGCATTTCCCCGGTCTCATGCATTTGACATAGCAAAGCATGCCTCCAATCCACACAAATCCAACACAACAGGAATATGTGTTTTCCTGCTTGTTTTTTATTCCATTTCAAAGGTCAGTAGGACAGGTTTGCAAATATTGATCTGGACTCCTATTCCACCTGATACTTCACTTGTGAGCTGGCAACAGAGTCTCCTACTGAAGAGGACTGAATAAAGATAATTCTATAATTATTTACAATGGAGAAATAGCAGAGTGCCTTACCATGTACATCGGTCTGTTACACTGCTGAATGCAATCGTTGTACAGGACCATCCCAATGCGCCTGAAGGTCCCAATATCTGCGGGATGAAATGAACAGCACTTTACCTCTGTCTCTTCTGACTCCTAGCCCTTACACAGGCTGAAACAAAATGCAATCAGTCAAACTACTGCCATCAAACTACACTGCACTTCATTCAGTAAGAAATGAGATGTCTGCATTGTAGATGAATGCCAGCTGCTCACAAATTGATCCGGGATTTTATTTTACTCCTTTACTGAGAAAGGCACCAATCAGAGGGCCAGAAATACATTAGTTTATAATGTCCCTGATCTGATCATAAGTCAGATATTAAAATGTCACGCAAATAAGGGCAAAACTGCTGTCTTGTGGATTCTAACTTCAACATTATCCAACCAGATAGATTGGTTGCAAATCAGAGAGGGTCATGTGGTCTTCCTCATGTTCTGAACCTTTGAGTGAGACATTCCTTCCTTTGAAATCAGTAGGCAACTTCTGCATGACACATGGGTTTTCTATCCCTAAAGGAAATTGCACTGGGTTGAGATAAGCACCTGGAGCACAAGACAAAATGAAATGAACTAACACTAACGTGCTGAGTGCAAACAATACCTGCATTCGAAACATCTTCAGCAAGGGAAAGAAAGAGATACAGCATAATGTCAGAAGGCAAGTAACAGTCCCCTAATAATCAAACTGTAAATTAATTAAAGACCAGATGATGTAACTAGAAATAAATTCAATCCATACACACACAGAAGCCACAGACAGACCCGTGTGCAGTTCACATTTCCACATCCTGTTGTAATGCGGCCATTAGGTTCATGGAGCTGCACACTCCCTGGACCTGATAGATTTACAGCTAACTCAATCTGAACAGAGAACATGGCATCTGGCTTTTGCACAGGCTACGTGTTTCTGGTGTCACTAATCAGAAACACAGCCACCACCATGTCCCCCCCCCCAGAAAGTTATTGCATTAATAAAGGAAATGGAACATGTGGTTTTAGTGCTCATAAGATTTTGTATCTTCAGCAATCTATTGCAGTGTGAGTACAGAGGTATGGAAATCTACTGCTCGACATTTCCTCCAAGTACAGATTCCTCATGCACCACCGGAAACAAGAGTACGGTTAGATTTCTGGCTACCCCATCTCGGAGTGGTGCTAGATTTAGAGCTGAGGTTTAATGTTAGGATTGAGGGACTGAGGATTGAGGATTCATGTCAGGCCGAGAGCGTGGTTGGTGTGCAGGTTTGGGATTAGGGTTGGAGCACGGGGAGTTGAGTTAAGGGCTCGGAGGTCTAGTTTTGGGTTTTGGGGGTGTACCCCAGGAACCGAAGCTTAACGGTGTTTGAATACCAAGGTTTTAGGATGTGGATTTGGGTCAGGTGGGGTCAGAACTGTGACCTCAGGGGTGGGGCACAATCCAGAGGCAGGAGCCGGCCATCGGAGTGGCACGTACCGATCTTGAACCTGCCCATGTAGTAAATCTGAGTGCTGAGGGCCAGCGACGCCGAGACGTGAATGATGGAGAAGAGGATCCAGAACCACTCGGCGTTCTTCCCGAAGATCTGGAACAAAGCAGCGGGTCAGCTGGAGCGGGAGAGCGCTGGCCCTGCGTGGGATCTGTCCTCACGGAAGAGCAGGACAGAATATTCCAGTGCATGTTCCTGACACTGCCTGCAGAGCAACATCTGGACACATCTGGTCCTTTCTACATTCATCCAGCCCACTAATATGGCATAATAGCTGGAAATAGTGCAGGGCACAGTAACAATGAAAGGGTGTGCTCTGTTTATTTATGTGATTACGCTACACTGCTGTGCAAAACGCTTAGATAGTTTGTGTTTTTCTATTCCTTTCACCCAGGGATTTTCCTTATTTATGCAGAAACAACTCTATGCTCATCTACTGAAATTTTAGCCTTTATTCATTTTAACTCGATTGAAGCTAAGAGAGAAATAAAAATGACAATGTGTCATTTAGATTTGATCCACAGCTACGTCAACACTTCTTGATGTCTGCTTGCATATATTTTGCCCCGAGATGAATAACTTCAAGTGAATTAAACAGGACTACATCACAAGCTTGGATTCTTCTCACCAAAACTCAGCTGTATAAATAACATTCAAAGTTTCTAAACAGCAGAAAACACGAGTACAGGCTTCGGGTAAATTGTTGATGCTCATAACATAAACATATTGTAACTACTGACTGCATCTAAGACTTGCATATACCGTACAGTGTACATACCTAGCAAACATTAAATGCATTTTAGATTAATATATAAAATCTGTTTTTGTTGTTAATGCCCATCCACATAGTTGGGTCTTAATCCATTACTTTCCTTCAGATTCGTTGTTCACATTGCAATAGGGAGGATTTTTTCAATTGGACCTTCTTTGACATTAGTAAGTAATGCACTGAGATGTCAAGGACAAAGTGTCCAGCCTGCCCGTAAACGAGCTGCGTTTTGCTCTTGAAGAAACTGCGGGAGAAGGAGCTGGCTCTTACCACGCCCAGCACGGCCAGGAAGATGACCATGGCGAAGGTGGCATAGGCGAAGTAGGCGCTGGCGTTGACGTCGGGGTGACGGGTCTGATAGAGCTTCAGCATGCACAGCCCCGCCAGCATGTACATGAACGAGGTGTCTGGGGAGGTGTCAGCGTGCGAGTTAGTGGCACTAACAGCACAATACAAATCATCTGTGTAGGGGAGTGTAATCCATCACTGCCACGAGTTACTGGTGTAAAGAACTACTTCTTAAAATAAGAAGAAGAATTTGGGGAAAACAAATTTGAAAATAGTCATTAGTCATCCATGCAAAGTAACATCACATCTTTAAATGGCAATTTCCGACATATTCATTTGCAATCGTAATCCGTTAGTCAGGTAACCTGTACCTGCAATGGATTACTTTCTCCGACTCTGGAAGTAATAGCCCTAATACAGTCCTAGTGCAATAACAGTAGTCAGAGTAGCGGCGTTAGGAATGTTAGTAGAAGCCCGAAAGGTATCTGAGACACTGTAGCAACATCATTAACAGCAGCTGAAGGTATCAGTCTGGTAGCAGCTGGAATAGCACCTGCAATAGCCATGGCAATGGCAGTAGCAGAGGAGGAGTCCAGCAGCAGCAGAAGAAGGGATGTACTGTAGGTAGAAAAGAAGCCCTTCTGCTTGTTCCTTACCGAACTGGAAGTTGGAGTAGTTGGGGCAGACGTGGTAGCAGGAGCTCAGCACCCCCTCCATCATCAGCGCAATGGCCATGGCGTAGAAGAGGCCAAAGTGCTTGGGGATGCCGTACTCCTGTCAGGAAGAGAAACCCGGAGAATCTGTTCCCAGCAATTCCGTGGTGGAACTGTGCCAGCGGTTACAGACCAAAATCCACCGGGCTGCATGGGCTGCCTGCGCTCAGACTCAAACTCTGGCAGGGGCATGTCAAGTGTACAGATATAATAATGTAATAATGTTTCTTTATTAGCCCTATACAATTTCTTGCATTAGGAATTCGTCTTTTCGCATACCCCAGCTTTTCTCCATGGAGACACAGACACACAGACAGGGAGAAGCTTGGGGTCAGAGCACAGGGTCTGCCATTGTACAGCGCCCCTGGAGCAGTTGGGGTTAAGGGCCTTGCTCAGGGGCCCAACGAAGTAGGATTCCTCTGCCGGCTGTGGGGTTTAAACCAGCAACCTCCCAGCCCCAGGCGCAGATCCTGAGCCACAGAGCCACCTCTCCGCCCATATAGAAACTACAGGAGTCTCTGCCATTATCTGCTTAGCTCAAAGCCGAGAGGGTCCCTGATGAGGCCAAGCTACCAGACTCTCTTTGAAGTGCAAGGTGTGGGTTTGCATGCATGTTACACCCATGTTAATATAACAGGGCTACATGTGTCATGTTGTCCACCATAACCTGCATTTTCCTGACTTGCTACACTCCCTGGCTTGTTGTTGGCTGACCCCAGGTGGACCGCAGGCGAAAGGGAAGCGGGACAGTGGCTTTGCAAGCGGGAAGGGAGCAGTCTCTCAAGCTTCTGATCGAGTTTCAAAGGCGCACTCACCAAGGCATACACATCGCGGGACTCCAGCGCCCTCTGGTGGAGGATGTCTCTGCGCAGCACGATCAGCAGGAACAAGAATCCCAGGAGCACGTATCCCACGTTGCTCAAGATGTTATTGAAGGCACTGAAACAAGTATGAGCAATGGGCAAATCGCACGCTTTGCCGCATTGTATAACTTTATGTCCCTAGCATAAAAATAACTACACCTGTATATCCCTGCGTTTAAAAACACACATTCAGGAAACTCTGATGTTTATTTTCGTATTAATTCCAGTTCCGTTAGTTAAGCCTAAATGTAGGCGGCAGTGCCATCTAGTGGAGCTTAATGAAAAAGGATTCGCCAGGTCCCGCCGTGCGTCTTCCGAGTTTCTCTCCCACGGGCCGGAAGCACGACAAACTGCTGGGTCCTCACCTTAACACCCCCAGAGGATGGGCACACAGGAAATTGTAGTAACAGATGTCTTGGTTCCCCGTGACATTCACCACCTATTGCATACACACAAAAAACAGCCATTTAAGAAAAGAACGACCAGTGCAGCGCAACAGCACGAGCAAGCGACCCGGCGGGGTGACTTCTGAGTGGCCGCGGCTGGACACTGCAGCGGGTAACGGCACAGGGGCGGCCGCCGGTCGGACTGCGGCAAGGTCTCACCGTCTGATAGGTGATGACCAGCTGGACGACCGGCAGGGCGTAGAACACCGCGATGGTCGAGATGTTCCTGGAGAGAAAGAGGCAGGGAGGGGGAGGCTGAGAGCACGAAGGGGAGCCGAGGCCTGACTTACCAGCGCTGTGTGACACATCGGCCTAGGAAAGATGCTACTCAATTTAATACGCTAACTGTAAGAGACTCATCAGGGACTAATGTCCAGTTTACTTAAGGCTCTCATTACAATATCCCATCTCCGACATGTACCCAGCTTAAAACGTTCTCACCAGAAGTAGATCTTGTACTTTTTGCTGACTGTTTTGCTGTCTTTCCGGGACAGGTCCGACACGTACAGGAAGGCCTGAAACGGGAGACAGAGGCCAGCTGAGTTCTGGGGACGGGCACGGCCTGCGGCGCGGCTGAGGGGACAGGGGCGTCGGCGCTGACCCTGCTCCTGTGCAAGGCGCTCTCCCGCTCCAGGTCCCGCAGGGCGTGCACGGCCCCGTCCTCGTCCTCGGAGCTGTCGGGGCCGGAGCGGCAGTGCAGCCCCTCCCTGGGCGCGGGGCTGGGCGCGGGGCTGGACTCGTCTGCGGGGAGAAGGCAGCTCACAGCACCTCGGCCTCCGACCCTGCTGCCACGGACCAATGAGAGCTCACGGGACCAGTGCGTCTATTGTCTCCATGTGGGTATGACGCGTGCCCACGCCGCTCCACCCCACCGGTTTGTCCCCCAACACCTGGGCGCGAACCCGGGTGTCCCGCATAACGCAACAGGGAACCAGCCGAGTGAGCTAAAGGAGACCCCCCCCAGCCCAGGCGGCTGAGGTCCCTGCTCCGCGCAGGGAGGGCGATGACGTCACCCTGCCCAAACTAGCTCCGCTACACAGGTGTTGCCGACCAGCAGGATATCGAGTGGATGAACAGTACAGGGGAAAGGTCTGCTGGGAGAAGAGGCCATGACAGCCATGCGACTAACTCTAGAAGTTCTAACAACAGCCCTGATTACTGTATTCCAGCCCCCGAGCATCAACTCTTCTAGCTGGCCTCGATCCCCCTGGGGGGAGTTAGAAATGTTGCTCAGAAGCAGCTGCGTGATGCTCTTTGCCAGTGATGCGTTCTCAGCAGGAGGAGGGGAGCTCACCTATGGCGCCATAGGTCCCTCCCTCTGGGGTGCCACTGGCGATGGGGTGCGAGGATGCCACCGAGCCCTCCCCTACAGGAGAGGGAGAGAGAACGAGGGAGACGGGGCGAGATCAACACCCAGAGCGACAGAGGCTCCAAGCATCTGTGAGCAGTGAAAGCTTTTCAGGTCATGGTCTTCTTTAACTTGCCATCGTCTAGCAGCTGAGGATGTATGCTTTTTTATCAAACTCTTTTCCAAAGCTGCAGAGCAAAGCCAGTCTAATGATTTGGCCGTTTCCTGTTCCCGAAGTACACATGGAACAGGAAACACACTTCCTCCTAGAGAGAGTGCCACCTCGCACACCTCAAGTGTGCAGACGGCAGTAACCACAGCCATGGTTCCCCGATCTACAAGCCAAATCCGAGTCCAGAGCTACCACTCACCGTCATCTTCGTCGGGGCTATACACACCTTCCTTTCTCTGAATCCTTGAAAAGCGATCAGAAGGAGAGAAAAATCATTCAAACAGACGACTGCATCTGAATCTGAGCATGCAATGAGAGCAAATCACACGTCCTACTTTGTCATTAATATTACTTTATCATTTATTACTTCAATAGTACTGTAGCACCACTGTTATTTGAACAGAGTTTAGAACGGGATCTGTCCATGTGCTCTTCTTGATCACAATTCATATTCATTATAGCGCTGCAGCAGACCTGTTCTGTAGCACTGGGGGTGCTCCTATTTTGTCCCGTTCAGGAGAGGAAAAAGACGTACCTCATGTAATGGACAAAGGCCACGATCAGGGCACTCGCGTAGAACAGCAGGAAGATGAGCAAGGAGAAGAGGATGGCATGGATGTACACCCTCTCTGACGGGGGGGGGCGGAGTGCAGAGCGTGGAGAGAGAGGGAGAGGGGGGGTCACTCATGTCCACTCGGGGGGCTTGTTCTCACGACAAGCAAACGCAGCGCACTGCACGGTTTCGTTCACGTGTGTTTGATGACACTGTCTGCCGCGAGGAAGCTGCAGGAGGAAACAGCGGGTCTGCGGTGCGCACTCACTGGTGGCAGACGGGACGATGGTGACGCCGAGCCCCTTGACCCTCTCCTCCTGCCAGGTGTGGTTCCCTTTGCCTGGCAAGAAAGAGCGAGACGATGAGTCCGCCGCCCCCCAGAGGCTCGGACAGCCGCGGCCGTGTCTGATCACTTCGTGCACAGTCACACTCCCAACCTCCTCAGTGCCCACCAGCTCAGTTAATGGAGGCACGCGTGCTTCGTAGAAAATGGGCAGGAGAAATAACTCAACCCGCTGCAGGGTTCGTCTTTCCTTGTTACTTCTAAAACCCGCAGGGCTGAGAGGAACTTAAAATTCTCCCTGGCTAAACAGCTGGAAGCAGCAATCATGGCTGCAACTTGCTGCTCCTGGCCGCAGGGGGAGCCGAGACCATGGAGTCAGAAGGACAGAGCAGAGCTCACCTTTTGTGGAGGGGAAAGTTCCTCCGCAGGCGTAGTCTTCAGGCTTAATGACAAACACAACGTAGAACTTCCCTCCGGGGAAATCCTTCCTCTGCCGGAAAAAAAAAACACGGAGTGAAAGGGACAGGTAGAGGCAGGACGGAGACGGCGGCCCGTCTCGAACCTGCCGTAGGTCACGCGACCCCGCTGCAGCGCAGGGCTCACCCTAGGGAGCTGCACAGTCACGCACGAAGGCCATGCGGGCCCCGGTCTCACAGTCCAGCTCTACCACTGGGGCTCCAGTGACGCAGGACCAGTGCTTGCTCTAACAGGCACCCCCCGGACGAGGAGGCAGCGACCCGGCCGGAACCTGAGGCCCGGGCCTTTTCTGCTCATGGACCTTTTACCTGCACGGTGATGGCAGCTTTCAGGGACATGGACTGGTAAACCCCAATGAACTCCACATTGTAATCCAGGTCATACACCGGGCACTGGAACAGAAAAGATGGCAGTCAGGCGGGGCAGCGTGCACTCTCGTCGGGTAGCTCCTGACATTCCTGTCGCGTCCCTGGTGCAGTGATGGCGGGGGGGGAGCCACCTCTCACTCACCACTATGTCCTGTACAGACACCACAGCACAGGGGTCCGCCCGGTGAGACACCACCTCGATCGCAACGGAGTCCACCCCCTCCGGGAACTCGTACAGAAAGTACTGCGCAGGGAAACAAGGGAAAGGACCGGCTTGGTAACACTGATGTGTCCTTTTTCACAGAACGGTTCGGAGCATACGACATTACCAACAGGACACGTGAAAGAAGATCACTCTTTAAATGAAAATTAGAGGAGTGCCAGGCAAATCTATAGCCTCTCATACTCACAGACTCCTGTGACCAAAGCCCCAGCACTTACCATGGGCTGGGAAGGTGTTGCACTGAATTTAAACTCCACTCCAGTCCTACGGGACAAAAGGGCAGAATACAATGATTGCTTATAATGTTGTCTAACAATACAAGTTAGAAAAAAGTATGCTATTATGTCTGAACCTGATGTGTTTTGCTGCATCCAATCTCATGAATAATTGTATTCCATGTGACCCAGGACCCCTCATTCCAGAACTATACTCAGTCTCACGATGATGACCGTAAAAATCAATTCCCCTTCCATCAAGGGACTGCACAGTCTCAGGCATTTAGATCATGCAGTGTGTGAGTACCACCCGCTCAGAGCAGTCTGACGTTAACTCTGAGATGAGAGGGGGGCATGTTCTTACTCCAGCCTGAAGTGGCTGACTCGCTGCACCAGCAGCTCGTAGCGGATGTTGAACGGAGCCATGGTTGCCACGTCGATGAACAGGAACTGCTCTGATGTCACTTCCTCCGACTGGGGCTCCAAGGGACACAGTGTGCGGCTCACTTCCTGATAGGTGTACATTCTCTGATAACTACAAAAAAGAAATCATTTAACAAGGCACATTTTTTATTTTAACCTAATTTATTAGGGATGCTGGTCTTATTCAGATGACTGGTTCTACAACTTCAATATTTCCGTAACTGTAACCGTAAATCTTAAAGCAGGCTGCTAGAAAGCTGGTCTACACTTTGTGCCTCAAGGCATTTGGCATTATTCTCTAGGGACTCTTTGTTTGTTTACTTTGACTTTTATTCGCCATTTAAACCTTATCCCAGTTGCACTGGATCTGGCAATGAAGCAGAGGTGCTACAGCGAGGCCAGATCATTGATCAACGAGGAAGGTGTCCAGTACCCAGAGAGAAAACACACAAATGCACAGGACCATGCAGGCTCCACACAGAAGGCACCCCAGTCCAGAATCTAGAGCTCTGAGGCAGCAGTGCCCTCAGACAGGCCACCACAAATGGCTTTACTGAATCATTTGCTATTACTAATGATAATATTGTTGCCTGTGGTTGGAAAAGAACCCTCTGACGTATTTTATCAACGCTCATGGAAAGGGAAGGCAGGACACGCTTTCCCCCGATCATGGTGATGGAAGGCCTTTCCCAGCGGGGGGCGCCGGGGTAGAGACGACTGCTCCTTACAGGCCTCTCAGCACCAGTGGGACCTGCCAGGACAGCACCGCCTTCTGCTGCCGCACGACGAAGATCACGGGGTAGCGCGGGTCATCGGAGCCGGCGCTGACGTACACCCGCACAGCGTCCACCTGCAGGGGGCGACAGAGGGGCGTGAGCCAGGCCAGGGAAAGGGGGTACTGT